ACCATGTGAGAATGAACGAGAGAATGAATGCACTAGAAAGCAATGGAGTACATATAGGAAACCCTAACAGGGTTGTACTCACTATTGAGTACCCCACTGCAGACTAGAGAAACATGATATTCTGACACCTCTGACACCCCCCCGCACTTGGATACCCGAAGTGCACACACTGGGATTCGAACCTGAGACCTTAGCTCTGATACCGTGTCAGAATCTCAGCCACTAACCACTGGGATAAAATGGCTTGTTTGTGTAGCGGATGAGTGCGTCCATAACCCCCCAGGCCAACGTGCCTGTAACCCTTCCCTATGATCAATCGGGGATCACGAGTTGACCTCTGACACCTCAGCATCGTGGATGTCGACCGAACGTGCAAGTCGGAAAATTGGGGTTGTACCGTACCGTATTCCCCCGGATATAAGACCTTAGGGTCTTATGCTAAATCCCTAGAAAAAAGGGGGGGGGGGTCTTAACAAAGAAAAAAAAATCATAACACCAGGGTCTTTTCATATGGCATATTTTGTTTTAGTGTTTTCAACACGACAAATAATACTAAAGTTGTGGGTTTGCTTTTGGTGAGCACCAGGCCAGCGAAAGTTGATAGCTTGACCAGTCACAACAAATTCGCCCGTCACTGTAAAATTCGCCCCTCTTACACAACAATTTCGCCCCCTCACACAGCAATTTTGCCACCTGACACCCCTGACGCGGCAAACTCGCCCCCTGACGCAGCAAATCAACCCTCTGACACGGGAATTCACGCTCGAAAGCCAAATTCGCACTATAAAATGTTTCGGTTTCAAATGAAACAAAGGTAAAGTACATGGAAAACCCCCCTATAGGGGAAAGGGGGGGGGGGGGGGGGGGGGGTCTTATATTGATCACCCCCCAAAGGGGGGGTATAACGAAATCGAGGTTTAATAAAAGACCCCCCCATATTAGTGTCAGAATCCCAACCACTAGACCATTGGGATAAAAGGGCTTGTTAAGTAGCGGGTCAGTGCGCCCATAACCCCCCAGGCAAACGCGCCTGTAACCCCCCCTAGGATCGATCGGGGATCTCACAGTGCAGCTCTACTGACACCCCCCCACACTGGGAGGCCCAGGACTGAGCACAGTGGCAACGGCCTACATGTGCATACACCGGGATTCGAACCCGAGACCCCTCTGATACCATGTCAGAATCCCAACCACTAGACCATTGGGATAAAAGGGCTTGTTAAGTAGCGGGTCAGTGCGCCCATAACCCCCCAGGCAAACGCGCCTGTAACCCCCCCTAGGATCGATCGGGGATCTCACAGTGCAGCTCTACTGACAATTAGTTACCCGCGGGTGTTGTATTTTGGGGATGTCTTCTATCCGGGGGAATACGGTAATTACCCGGATAATGGACCCCCCAAAATTATAGACCCCCGGGTCGTTAAATGGGAGGGGGTGTAATGCTATACCGTCATACTCCGGATATACCCCCATGGGGGGCAATAATAAAGCAGATTTTTTAGGGGGGTGGGCTTAAAATCGAGTAAATTTATAAGCGCTGGCGTTTATAAAACGACAGTACGTTTTTTTTATATTTTTTAACACCAAACAGTAGATCTCGTGCTTGCCTTTTCAATCGAGTCGAAGTTACATGGGGTCGTCTGTGAAATTCTCGCGCGCGCAGGGAGATACACCCAATCTGACTCACATCCAGCTTCTGACAGCTCCTGACAGCTCCTGCTAACTGGACCCGCATCCAGTGCAGGGTCCGAATGTGAAAGGAACTGAATCTGCAACACATCCGCCTGCTAAAGCAAAAATCGTTACAGCGTTTTGAACACATTTCAAAATTTAAAGTTTACGTGCGCTTATGATAAAACAAGTTTTTTCAGGGGGTGCGCTTATAATCGAGCAGGGGATTTAAGCGCCACACGCCAATTAAAAGCGCCAGGCGCTTATCCGAGGGTGGCGCTTATATCCGGGGTACGACGGTATGCACTTTCGTAATAAACCCCTTTTGTGAGAAATGTATCCCATATTAGACCCCCCTAACCTATTTCGGGTCAAACTGTATCGAGGAACTGGTCAAGTTGTCGCGCGGGTCAGTCGCGCGACAGACCCGCGTTAGACGCATGGTCAAAATTTCGCTGACCCAATAGAAGGTGATGGCTTTTGATGCTGTAACACGAGGGTGTTTGAAAACAAAATGCATATAGGGTGATGCCATGACTTCACTCTGTAGTAGCGGTGGGAGTGGTGACGGCGGTGGTGGCAGCAGTGGGAGTAGTGGCGGCCGTAGTAGCCGTCCCTGTGGCGCTGTTTGGTGCGCAGTTTCTGGCGGTGGCCAGATGCAGCTACGGCGGCGTCCGACCCTTACGTCCCAGCAGCTTCGTGAGTGGCTATACCAGCGCGGGACATCTCCGAGTCCTGGTCGCTGCCCGTACGTCATTCGCACAGGTCGTCGAGCTGGTCAGACCTGTGGGACACCTGGTTACGCACAGTCCCGCTGCTTCGCCTATTTGAGTGACGCCTGGCGCGCAGAGTTTGGCGACGAGGCTGAAATCACCCTCTGGCTTGAGCTGCTTAGGTCGGGCATTGATGTCTTTGCTTTGGACTATGATGCCATCCTTACTGCTATATATGCTTTGCTTGGTGGTGCTGAGGGTGACTGTTACCTGCGTGTGTAGTACGACCCCGGTATAGAGGTTGGTGCTCTAGGTGCTAGTGAGGCTGCTGCCTTAGGTGCTAGCGAGTCTGCTCTCTTAGGTACTTCGCCTGCTCAGGCCTTGCACACCTTCACGCTTGACTCAGGTGCTTCCCGCTGCTTCTTTCGCGACAGTACCGCACACACGCCACTCCCTGCACCTGTTGCAGTGTCTCTGGCTGACCCCTCAGGGGGCCTAGTTTTTGCACGGTCCTCCACTGTGCTTCCGTGCCCGGCCCCATCTGGCTCACTGTCAGGTCTTCACCTCCCCTCCTTCTCTACAAACCTGGTCAGCAACGCAGTCCTTCAGGATGCATGGGTTGATACCCTTACCCCTGGAGGACAGCGTGTGGAGATCTGTACGTGCTCCCGAACTGGCCGTAACCTAGCCACGTTCACCCGTCGGCCAGGGTCGAGTCTTTACACACTGACTACTGCGTCCCCTCAGGTAGCTGCTACTGGTCAGGTGTCTGCGTCAGGTTAGGTAGCCTCCCCTTGTTCGTGTCGCTCCCTCTCGCACCAGACTCTTCTCTGGCACCACCGCCTGGGTCACCCCTCCTTGCCACTCCTCCGTGGCATGCACCGGCGTCCCCTTGCGCACCAAGGGTGAGGTCCTTGCTGTCCTGATCCATTGGATCCGAGCAGTTCGTCTCCCGCTCCACCGCAGGTTCCGCCAGGACCTGCCTGTCCTGCGTCTGCACCCTGACAGAGGTGGTGAGTTCACCTCCGATGTCTTACGGGCCTTCTGTCAGGGGGAGGGCATTGAGCAGTCGTTCACGCTTCTGGGCTCACCGCAGCAAAATGGGGTTGCTGAGCGCCGCATTGGCTTAGTCATGGAGGTCGCTCGTACCTCCTTGATCCATGCGGCGGCTCCCCATTTTGTGTGGCCGTTTGCAGTCCGGTACGCCGCGCAGCAGCTCAACCTCTGGCCCCGTATCTCCTTGCCGGAGACCTGGCCCACACTGCGTTGGACGGGGGAGGTTGGCGATGCGTCGTGTTTCCGGGTCTGGGGTGCTCGTGCCCTTGTCCGCGATACGTCCGCGGACAAGCTCACCTCCCGCACCATTCCCTATATCTTCCTTGGCTTTGTCCCTGACGCGTCTGGCTGGCAGTTTTACCACCCCACCTCGCGCCGTGTCTTCCCCTCTCAGGACGTCACCTTTGACGAGTCGGTTCCTTTCTACCGTCTCTTCCCCTACCGCACTGCCCCTCTCCCTCCCCCGCCGCTTTTCCTCACTCCAGGTCCCCCTCCGATAGACCCCCTCCCCCCTCAGGGTCCTGCTCCTTCAGGTGTGTCTCACGTAGACCCGCTCCCCTTGGCTAAGTCTGTAGAGGTCACTAGCGACTCAGGTGCTGCTGCGGGAGGTGCTGCTGAGGGTGCTGCGTCAGGGGGTGCTGAGCTTGCGCGTGAGGTGCTGGGGAGTGAGGAGGCTGGGGGTGTTGAGCCTGCGGCTGCGGAGTCTGGGTGTGGTGAGCCCGTCCGTGAGGTGCTGGGGGGTGTGGAGCCTGGGGGTGCTGAGCCTACGAGTGCGGAGCCTGGGGGTGCTGAGCCGGAGGGTGCCGAGTTGGGGGTTGCTGAGTCTGCTGGCGTTCCTCTGCGTCTCGTGTCACGACGCGGGCCTGTCTCACCACAGCAGGCACGAGAGTGGCTTGCTTCGCGTACTCGCATGAGGGGTCGTGCTGCTGGAGCTGCTTGTCGTGGAGGCACTCTGAGTGCTGTTGTCTCTGGTCCTGGAGGTGCTCGTACTGGAGGTACTGGAGATGCCGGGAGTGGTACTGCTCCTGGAGCTGGAGGTGTTGGCTCTGGGGGTGCTGCTGCTGGAGGTACTGGTGCTGGAGGCCCTGTTACAAAACTAAGTTAACTAGGAACCGGGGTTTACTAAGGGCCTAGGCTTAGTAGCCTAGGCAAAGCGGGTGTCGAGGTGGTTGTCACCAAGGAGAATTGAAGAATGTGTGTGTTCACTATAGGACCAAAGGTACATATAGCAAACAAACAGGTGCACCACAAAGCAAACAATCAGATAACTACACTATAGTAACTAAAGCAAGCAGGATATATTAAATATAACTTTAACACACCCCCTTAGCCTGCTTGCAGTAATAACTAGTGCAGTCAACACCCCCTGAAGGGGTAGAGCAGGCGCGGTGGGAGACGGCAGAGGTGTACGTGAGGGGAGGCGGCGAGAGGGAGAGAGGAGAGAAGAGGAGACAAGAACACAGGAGGAGGTGAGTGAGTGATGAGGAGAGGAGGTGGGGGGGGTGGCCGCGGCGTCCCCTCTTACTAACCCCCTTTTACGAAAGGGGGGTTGAGTGGGGGATGAGGAGAGGAGGTGGGGGGGTGGCTGCAGCGTCCCCTCTTACTAACCCCCACTTCCCCACCCCCAATCAAACACCCTCCTTCAACCTCACCCCCCATTTCAGCCGCCCCCCCCGCACCACCTCCCTCCCTTCCTTCCTCCACACCCCTGCCCCACTCACAGTTGTCTCTGCCCTGTCCTTCACACCGCAGCCAGCCCTCCCACCCCCCCGTCCCTGCTACCTACCCCCCACACTAGCAGCCGCGGGAGGGGAGAGGTAGGGCAGAAGGTGGTTCTCTGCTAGCGGGGTTCTCTGCTGGCGGGGTTCTCTGCTGGCAGGGTTCTCTGCTGGCGGGGTTCTCTGCTGGCGGGGTTCTCTGCTGGCGGGGTTCTCTGCTGGCGGGGTTCTCTGCTCGCGGGGTGCTGGTGCTGGCGGCTGGCGCTGGTGCTGGTTCATGGTGCTGGCGGCTGGCGCTGGTGCTGGTTCCTGGTGCTGGCGGCTGGCGCTGGTGCTGGTTCCTGGTGCTGGCAGCTGGCGTTGGTGCTGGTTCCTGGTGCTGGCGGCTGGCGCTGGTGCTGGTTCCTGGTGCTGGCGCTGGTGTTGGTACTGGTTCCTCGTGCTGGCGCTGGTGCTGGTGCTGGTTCTTGGTGCTGGCGCTGGTGCTGGTGCCTGGTGCTCGCTCTTGACAGCTGACGACGGGCTTGCTCGCGGGCTCGCGGGTCCGCTTGTTCACTTGCTAGTGGGTCTGCGGGTCTGCTGGTTCGTTTACTGGCGGGCTTGCGGGTCGTGGACGATCTGTAGCATGCAGTGGCGGAGCAGCAGCTTCTCCCGCCACTCCCGCCACGCCCGCCATTCCCGCCACTCCCGCCACGCCCGCCATTCCCGCCACTCCCTTCATAGCAGCTGCGAAGTCGACGGGAGGGCAGGCGGGGACGAAACGGGACGGGACGGAACGGGACGGAACGCGGGCTGGCTGTGGTGCTCAACTGACGGTCGCCACCCTTTTCCCCCTCTCCTCTCCCCCCCCCACTGCGACCGTCGACGTTTCCGCGACAGTGAGCCGCGACGAGGCAGCGTGACGGGGAAGGGCGACGGGGAAGGCATCAGCGGTTCGAGGGGCCGACGGGGGGCAAGAGCAGCGGCGGGAAACAGCGGGTCGACGAACGCCATCACTCCCGCCGCGACCGTCGCGTCTGTTACGACTACCGTGACGGATTTTGCTACGGGCGAGCGACGGGGAAGGACGGGACGCGCCATCACGATAAATAACGGTGGGCCCTTTCAAAAAAATAGGTCGGGAACGACCTAGCTCTGATACCATGTTACAATAATAAGTTAACTAGGAACCGGGGTTTACTAAGGGCCTAGGCTTAGTAGCCTAGGCCAAGCGGGTGTCGAGGTGGTTGTCACGAAGGAAAATTGAAGAATGTGTGTGTTCACTATAGGACCAAAGGTACATATAGCAAACAAACAGGTGCACCACCAAGCAAACAATCAGATAACTACACTATAGTAGCTACAGCAAGCAGGATATATTAAATATAACTTTAACAGGCCCTGGAGCTGGTGCTGTCGACCCTGGCGTTGGAGACCCTGGAGCTGGAGGTGCCGGTTCTGGGAGCGCTGCTGCTGGAGGCCTTGGAGCTGGTACTGTCGACCCTGGAGTTGGGGACCCTGGGGCTGGAGGTGCCGGTTCTGGGGGTGCTGCTACTGGTGGCACTGGAGCTGGAGGTTTTAGAGCTGTTGGAGGCGCTGGAGCTGGAGGTGCTGCTACTGGAGTCACTGGAGTTGGAGGTGCTGCTCCTGGAGGCGCTGGAGCTGGAGGTTCTGGAGCTGCTGGAGGAGCTAGAGCTGGAGGTGCTGCTGCTGGAGTCACTGGAGCTGGAGGTGCTGCTGCTGGAGGCGCTGGAGCTGGAGGTTTTGGAGCTGCTGGAGGCACTGGAGCTACTGGTACTGGTGGCACTGCACCGCCGTGACTGTTTTTCGCTCCGCCGTCACCGTCGTCTCTGCCACCGCCTGACTCCGTGCTTCGCCAGGTTCTTAGCCTCCTGTCTTCTACTGGCCTCCCGCTACAGCCAGGCTCACCACTGCCAACAACAGCCGATGGATGCACAACAGTGCAAGTCGAGAAAATCGTCTGCGCGCACCTGCGAGCGTGCGCACTGCTGCCATCTACGGGTGCAACGCTGGACAGTCGCTCTGCTACAACGTCGGCACGCCGTCGACCTGCAGTGTTGGCAAGTCGCCTTTCTGTAGTGCTGGCGCGGCTCCTCTACGCAACGCTGGCAGGCGGTCGATCAAGCTGTGCTGGCGGTCGACCAGGCTAGCTGTAGAGTTGCTTGGTGCCTGATGTAGTCATTTCTGTTATTGCTTGTTCAATCATTCTGGAATGCAATCTTTGCCTAGTGAAACCCTTGCCGATTTCTCCCGTGAATGTGCAAGCGCTAAAAAACTAAGCAAAGCTATGATCGCTCCTAGTAGTTCGTACCAACCCCCCCGTAGTCTACCTCACTACTTTGTCGAGTGACTTTCCACATGGAGCGGTGAGCGTGGACGGCCTCGCAGATTACCTTCAGATAGGAGCCGACTTTTGCACCTGCTAAGTCGTTTGTAGGCCGGCAGCCGCATTAGTCGCCATGGTCGACCCCATTGTAGAAGCAAGCGTAGCGGACACCTTGGAGGCACGCTTGGCTGATGCGCGAAAACGCACGGAGGATGGCGAATACGGGAAGATCCCCTGGGCGATCGTCAAGTTTGGCGTCCGAGCGCAGTGGGCGACGGAGCACACGCCTCGTCCTGTATCTCCTCGACCAGTACAAAACGAATGTGGCGTCGACGATGAGGTCGACGGCGGTGCACAAGTCAGCCGCAACGATGGCACGAGGTAGAGAGGGGTGATCAAGGTTGACGGTGGTGTTGACAGGAGTTAGGTGCGAGTGCAGCGCTCGACGGCGGCTGCAGGCAGCTCGCGTGCCGACGTCGATGGTCGACGTCGCTCTCCTCTACGAAGCGGTGGAGAGTTCTTAGCGACGACGCACGTGACGGCAGGGGGGATTGCCCAATGTATGGCTACTTCAAGTTTTTGCCGGACCGGATCATCGTCACACCTCTGCAAGGTCGACGTGACCTCATCACCTGAAGGGAGTCGATAGAACCATAAATGGAGGTCGTCGGCTGAAGGGCTTCGCCGACGGCACCGTGCCCATTCCGCTCGAAAAAGATGTCGAGTTGCGCGGGGAGTTTCGTGCTGCTTACTTGCTCACCTTCATGGTCATCTCGAGGTGCTGCTCGCCGATGGTGCAGCTAGCGCTCAGTTCCTGTCGAGAGCGACTAGACGCTGGTCATCAAGGATGGCACTTCATTCTGTCGACGTACCAGGTGAAGGACGACCTGTACATCAGACAGGTGGAGGAGAAGTTGACACATATTCGGATGGGCAAGCAGGAGTCGGTGACGGACGACTACAACCCTGCTCGACAGATCCTGGCTGAGATGCGGATGGCGGGCGCCGAATACTCTACGGCGTCCTACATCACCCACGTCTACAAGGGCATACCGCGCAGCTACAACCTCATGAAGAGGATGACGATGGTGCCAGGCACACGTGAGTCCCTCGACGAGGACTCCCTAACAAGCTACATCATCTAAGATGAGGTGATACAGGAGGCTGAACAGCCCACGGAGCCCCTTCCGCAGGCAAATTACGCTGCACCGACGAAGCAGAATTGTCAGCAGGAGCAGCGCGGGAAGCCGTGCGGAAGTGGTAGCGGAGGTGGGCGGTCCACAAAGGACGTCGACGAGAAGAGGTCGACGCGGGACAAGGGCCGTGGAGGTGGTGGTTGACGGTGGGAGTGTAGGATCTGCCACGACCCCGACCATCTCTCTGTCAGAACATATATATAGCTTATGCTGTTGTGTAGGCTATAGTGGGGTATCCCATAGGGGGTACAACCCAATTAGGGTTTCCTATATGTACTCACTTCATTCATAGTTCATTCATTCGCTTTCTCCTTTTCTCATGGAATCAGAGCAGGTCCCCTCCTAGGGACTGTTTCTAGGGCCCACCGAAGCGCGCCCCGAGGCGCGCTTTCTTTTTTTTTTAGCGACCCTCCGTGTCGCCCCTAGCGGCCCGTTGCGCCGCCCTCACCTACGCGGCCCCACCGCCCTCACGTCGCGGCCCCGCCGCCCTCACGTCGCGGCCTCGCCGCCCTTGCCTACGCGGCCCCGCCGCCCTCACCTGCGCGGCCCCGCCGCCCTCACGTTGCGGCCCCGCCGCCCTCACTTCGCGGCCCCGCCGCCCTCACCTACGCGGCCTCGCCGCCCTTGCCTACGCGGCCCCGCCGCCCTCACCTTCGCGGCCCCGCCGCCCTCACTTCGCGGCCCAGCCGCCCTCACCTACGCGGCCTCGCCGCCCTTGCCTTCGCGGCCTCGCCGCCCTCACGTCGCGGCCTCGCCGCCCTTGCCTACGCGGCCCCGCCGCCCTCACTTCGCGGCCCCGCCGCCCTCACCTACGCGGCCTCGCCGCCCTTGCCTTCGCGGCCTCGCCGCCCTCACCTACGCGGCCCCGCCGCCCCACTTCGCGGCCCAGCCGCCTATCCTCACCGGCCCCGCCGCCTATCCTCACCGGCCCCGCCGCCTATCCTCACCGGCCGAGCCGCCGAGCCGCCCAGCCGCCGGGCCGCCCTACTGCCGAGCCGCCCGACCTGCCCTGCCTGGTGAGCACAGCACCACTGTTACTGCGTGCCCCTCCCCTACTGCTTGCACTGCTACACTGTCGTCGTCATGGCTACCCCTAGTGTCCTCGCTTTTGACGCTGAGGGTCGAGCCATTGACTTTGAGGTCTGGGTCGACGACCTGCAGCTGTTCTTACAGTGCGATAGGACGGACGGTCTTTCCCTCTTTGACCTCACCTCTGGCGCCTCTCCTGCCCCTGCTGCTGATGCTGACCCCACTGTTCGTACTCACTTCATTCATAGTTCATTCATTCGCTTTCTCCTTTTCTCACTCTCCTACGAATGCCCTGGCCGCGACAACAGCGACGATGACGACAACAAGGGAGGCCGCGGTCGATCGGCTAGTCGTCGCCCCTGTCGAGATTCAAAGCCGCGCAATGAGAAGCAGACATCGAAGACGATGTCCTTGACGGAGGACATTGACAACTCCAGTGGCAAGGGCCGAGGCGACGGGGAGGCGTCGTGCTTGATGGTCGGCTTGGTGGAGTCGACAATCTCGCTGGCACCGGAGGCTGGCGAGGACTTCCAAGCGGTGGCGGCAGCTGTGCAAGCCAATCTGATGGCGGTGCTTCTCGACAGCGGTTGCTCCCACCACCTGATGGGGACGAGGGCGGTCTTCATCGACATGGCGCCGAGCGATGAAGTTAAGCACGTGCGTGGATTCAACGGGGCGCTGCAGCCCGTCGACGGTCGTAGAACCGTCGCTCTGCAAGGGGAGGCAGGGAAGCGGGTCCTCATCCCCGACGTGCTCTATGTTTCGAGGGTACATGCGAACTTGCTGTCAGCTGCCCAAATGAAGGAGAGCGGAGTACAGCTGCAGGGCGACAGTGACGAGATGCTGCTCGTCGCCGCGACCGGGGAGATGCTTGGTCGAGTGCGCTACACTGGACAAGTCCTTTGCACCGACCTTCGCCCCTGCTCGACGCGGTCGCCATCGACCGAGGTAGTGGCTC